AGAGTCATGAATTTAGTATTCACACACACGCTTTTAAGAGGTAATCTTAAACTATAACCCGATCCAGAGCCATACACGATGAGTTAGTTGAATGATACCTTATTACCCATCATATCTAAATGTTTAGTATCTATTAAGATAGATGACTATATGACTAATATATGGTGCGATATAATTTAAATGGAGGTAGCCAATGCCATTTTAGGGAGACTGATTATTTGATAATGATGTCATATATTTTGGTGGAGAGCACTTACCTATGTCAATTCAATGAAAAAACTTCATGTTCTGCCCATTTTAACCAGCTATAAGGGTAGAGTAAACTCCTCCACACAAGTTATTCTAGTCACCACCCTACACACCTACAATAGCCATACAATATGGATATCAACATCACAAAATTACTATGTTTCACTTGAGTATGACTAGAGTGTTATAATTTATGAAAATAATTTAATGTAGTAATTCAAAGAAACCAATTCTTCTTAATAGCATGCATTTTCAAACTCTAATTGTTCATTTGTATGTGATATAAAAAACTTACATCATGATATTAAGAAATAACTGGAACAAAAAAATACAAAATATGTTGAATATAAGAATAAAAATAAATCTTTTAAGGAATTTGAAGTAGAAAACATGTTCAAATATGCATCCGTCCTGAGATGTTTACTTTCACTAGTTTTTGAAAACTATAAATGAGATCATATGAACCATTCAAGATAATTAAAAACTTGGTAATAATTCAATATGTACTTGAAGGAGACACCTATAGAGGGACTCATCCAACCTCCAAATTTACAAGAAAAATCTTTTATAAACCTCCAAATTTACATGAAAATTCTTTTACAAACCTTGTTTAGAGGAGGAGATGAAACCTAATTATAGATATCCATTTAGCCTAAATTTCTTGAAATGTAATACATCATTTTAGAGGGGTCACCCACATAGGGAGAAGATAAGAGGTATCTCATTATATGGAATGATAAGCCGCCAAGAGAAGATACTTGGTTGACCACAGATGAGCTGCTATAGCTTGCGCCTGATTTTTTGAAGGATTACAAGAGCATTAAACTCTTCGAAGAAGAGATCTCTTAGATCAATAAAAATTGGTGTAGCACCTACACTAATTAGTAAACCCACAACTAGGATCCAGACTAGAATAACCACACTGGAGAAAGGTGGACCTATTACCCGAAGCAAGATGAAGAAGAAATAGAAAATTTTATGTTTTTTTATATTTATTTATTATGTATTAGATATTTCATTATCTTGTGATTGTACTTGTGTTATAGTTGATTTTGAGTGCACTAATATGAATTTGAGTGCACCAATGTGATCCCATATGAGTGTTAATGCATGTATGGGTCGGCCAAGTAGTATGAGTGAGTGTTTTGTTGACTTAGTCAATACGGTAGCTTGGCCAAGGTGAGGAGTGGTGTTTATTGGGTGGTTAGTGGCCAACCAACTATTCTCTCCAATATAGAAGGTTGTTGATTTCATTCCAAAGAATTTGAGTGGATAACTCAAGCAAAAAAGCTTCATGGTTTAATCCAAAGGAGTTGTTTAGTGATTATACATTCATGCACTTGAGTCTAAGTGCTTATCTTTTATATTAATTTGTGTTTAAATTTTTCTTTAAAATTTGTGTGGAATGTTGTTTCAACATTTAGTGTTGTGAATATAAATTTGGTTTGAATTTTCCAATAATTTTTTTCATAGTTTACTTATATTAAGTGGTCGCCCATGGTTGAAGGGTGTTTAATCTAGTTGGGTTCTCTTCAACATTTAGGGTGCGTTTGGGACGGCTTCACGGCTGCTTTGCTTTATAAAAACTTATTGAGTGCTCGTTTTGGGCATTGCGGTAGAACAAAGTTAGAAAAATTTCTGCGACCTGTCGCTGCTTCTCGCAACCTTTCATTGCGTCCCGCGGTCCGCTGCGGGTCGCTGTTTTCCGCCATTTCGAAGGGCATAAATGACGGAAAAGCTGGGTCGCTGCTTCTCCGATGCCCGCCTTCTCCGATGCACGCCGATTTGCCAAAGATCCCTCCACTCATCGCTGCTTCTCCCGCATGCCTTCCTCCGACTCTGCCATCTTCTCTCCATTTCTCCCGGTTAAGATTCGGATTCCTATTTAAATATGGGCTGCGATCCCCAGCATCAATCGCGGCTCTTAGATGAGTTGTGCGCCCTCCTCACCTTTCGTTGCAATCCCCATAGTAAAGCGCATTTGGGAAGACGAACAGCTGAGAGGAAGCTGGCTGGTAAAATTTGGATCGTTGAAGAGTGTTTTTTCTCTTTTTGAATTTTGCAAGCAGAGAGCAGGTCTTTTGTCTAAAGGTTTGCTCTTCTTTCTAAGATGTTTTTTAAACTATATTTTTATCTTTGGCCAAAATGAGCCGGATAGGTAATGGCCGAGGCAAAATTTTTAATCTATGGGCACAAATTTTTATTTTTAAATACTTTCAAGAAAGTAGGGTAGCCAGAATTTTTTATTTATGGGCACAAATTTGTTATTTTTAAATACCCTCAAATTTTCATGCCAGCTTGAAATAGACATTTGGTTTAAATATGTATAAAGTAATAAAATAATTTGATTTTATATCAAAATTGTTAACATAAAGAGTTAAAAAAATTAAATTTGAACAAATTTTATTCATCTTCATATATGTAAGGTTAACAAGGTAATTTGTTGTAAAACAGCAGCAGCACAACAGTTCGGCAGTACTACTACCCAAACAACATTGACTAATTTCTATACAGCAACTTAAGAAAGCAGTTTTATGTACAACAATTTCACAACCTGCTTTACCGACAGCAGCAGCTGTCCCAAACGCACCCTAGAACTAAATCTAATTAAAACTTTGTAAAAGCTTCCAAAATTAATCTACAGATCGAGTAGAACAATTTCCTCATAGTTTTTCTCTCTTTATTTTCATGTTTTATGTTGACTCAAAACCCTAAAATTATGGACCCTATAATCTATTTTCCAATTTTCATCCTCTGTCTAGTCACTTAAAAAATCTCAAAAAATATTTTAATAAATTCTAAATTATAAAAAAATGTGAAAACCTAATTGAAGATGTCTATTTTTATTCCAAAGTAAAATTTTGAAAATCTATCAAATGTTTTGAAATATGGACCCATTTCCCATAGATGATCAAATCTAGACTGAATTGATCTGAGTTGAGTCCAAGGCCAAACTAACCCTCCTAAACTCAATAAATAAACCCCACCAACTACAGATCAGCACTAGATGTAATTTGAAACATCTCTTATCAATTTGAATAGGAAAATCCCACCACCACATTGATGTGTAGATCAATTTTGAATATCTTTATAAATTTTGGACTAGATTTGGTCTACAAAATATTAAATAGAACTCAATTAGGTCAGTACTCATTCAACCTCCGACCGCTTGAAGGAAAATGCCCATGGGAAAATGGTTGAAAATTTCAAGAAAAAATCATATTCACAACACTAAACATTGAAACAACTTCCAACACAAATTTTAAAGAAAACTTTAAACACAAATTAATACAAAAGATTAGTGCTTACACTCACCCAAGTCAAATGCATGATCACTAAATCACATTTTTTTATCAAACAACAAAACTTTTTCCCTTGAATTCTCCACTCAAATTCTCTATAATTTCGTCAACAACCTCCTCAAATAATCAGCAAATAGTCTTAAATACACAACATACAAAACAATTCAAATTGAAAATTAAGAGGGAGTAGTTGGCCTATCACTACATGTGGTAACCATCTAATAACCACCCCTCCTCTTGGTCGTTCACCCATATTAAATAAGTCAACAAAGCACATACTCACAACTACTTGGTTATCCCTCACACACATCTACACCAATATGGGGTCACACAGGTAAAGGTCCAAACAAGTCAAGTCGAGCTCGAGTCAGGCCTAACTCGAGCTTGACTCGTGAGCCAAATTCCGAGCTCGGCTCGTGACACTGAAAATGAACTCGCCGAGTGACTCGATTCCACATCCAAGCCCACATTCCACATCCAAGCCCGCCTTCCGTGTCAGAGCCTGCATCCGAATCTGAGCCTGCCCTTGATCCACCATCGGCATCGTGATCCCGCATCTGAGCCCGCCCTACAAGCAGCTCGATGAGTAGTCAAGTCAAAGCTTCCTTAGGATCCAACTCGAGCCCGATAATCCAACAAGCTCGAAATTCTGCTCAAGTTCAAACTCAAAACTTAATAAGCTCAACTCGCGAGCTCATTAACGAGTCAAGCTCGAGCCGGCTCGCAAGTCGGCTTGACTCGGTTGAGCCCCTACACACAGGCGCATTCAAATCCACACTAGTACACTTCATATCAACTACAATACAAGTACAATAAAAATATAATGAAATGTTCAATACATAAAAAATAAATAACAAAAAATATAAAATTTCTTAAATCTTTTTCATCCGGCTCCTAATAATATACCCACCTCTCTCAAATGTGACCCTCCTGACCTACATCATGGAAGTAGATCTACTAATTGTTTTCGGTGTTACACCACCATATATGGGAATGTCAAGACTCAACACTTATTATACTAAGATTATTCATGTTATAAAGATCTTATCAAATGTCGCCTTATTTAGAGAATCCTTTCCAAGTTGCTTTACTTAGACATTTCTTTCATAAAAGAATTGTCTTTTATGAAAGATCTTTGATTCACCAATTTAAATTTCTCTTAGGGGCTGTTTGGTTGCCTGCAAAGTAAATACAATATAAAGTAAATGCAGTGTAAAGTAAATGTAGTGCATTTCAAATACTTTGAGGCTGTTTGTTTGTTTGCAAAGTAAACGCAGGAGAAATGTTTCCCTTGTTTGGTTAGATATATCCAGAGTAAAGTAAAAACAGTGCATTAGTAATATTTTTTTATCATTATAACTTGCGTATTTATAAAAGTAATCACCGATTGTTTAAACTTCGTTTGGGATAGCTTTCTTCTTGCTTTCTAAAACAGCTTTTCAATACAAAAATTAACTAAAAAACTGTTTTATTCTTCCTTCTCAATAGACATTGTCTCCTTAATATATGAATCGAGTTGGTCATTCTGAACTGGAGAGTTTGAACATTGCTCCTGTATAGATACAGCAACATCAACTTCTATCTTTTCAGAACTGTTGGTTATTAAATCTACCTCAACATCAGCTAGCCCAACAGGATCGCTAGGAGCGAACTTTGAATCAGATGAGCCGTGTTCTTGTGTAATCTGCAACTTATTGTTGACTTCATAAGCATCTAGATCAGTACTAGTACCCTCTCCCAAATCATCCTGTTTCAAAAGCAATAGTATTTGATATATGGATTTTAAATCATCCATATGAAATGAGCAAATGCAATTTGATACTATGTCAAAAAAAAAATTCTGACTTTTATAATTGATAATAGCCAATGCAAGTAAATCAAGCAGGAAAGTTTTGAAGGCTTACGTTGCCTCTTCAAGTGAGTAGACACGAAGCTCATACATGACCTGGCGTGCAGAAATTGGAAGACCGTGTGGGAGAAGTTGTAACATCCATAGCATCAAGGCTCCTCTGTGATGGAATTCCTAAATCACCTTCCTAAATTAACGAAAACCACCCCAATCCTTCAATGATCACCTTTTGCTGAAAACTATAAGCAAATGCTAGAAAACTTACTAATTGATTACAAATAACAAAAGATAATAATCAGCACCAAGCTACCCGTAGTCAACGATAGAAGCACAGACGAGCTCCTTTATCCAATAGCATTCTGACGCAGGCTGACCGACCTTGCTTCGCAGCAAGATGCAATGGCGTTGCCCCCTTGGCATCCTTCACATTAACAAAACGGGCAAATCCCCTAATGTTTGAGAAGGAAAAGATAAAAAGAAGACCGAAAGATTGTTAGAAATTGCAAAGAAATCCAAATGATCCGACTTATAAGATTTTTATCACTCAGTACCAGGATTCCGAAATCGGGTTGGAGTGGGCAGCCTCAAGAACTGATTCTAAACAATCAGAATGACCTAAAAAAGGGAAACCTCGTCGTGCCCATTTGCAGCGGCGATGTGGAGGGAGGAGAGGCGGCCGTAAGCGGTAATTTTCTTGATGATTCCGGGGTCTATACGGAGGATACGTTCCACTAATTGGAGCTCGCCGAAATGAAGTCCTCTCGATTGAAGCCGAACAGCATGACGAAGCTTCGCTTTTCTCATCTCGTTTGAAGCTTCGCTTTTCTCCTCTCGATTGAAGCCGAACAGCACGACGAAGCTACGCTTTTCTTCCGATGAATTTATAACCTGCTCGAATCGAGCGGGTTTCTAATTCCCGCAAAACATCCTCCATAATACACTCCTAACGCATCCGACGATTACCTTTTGTTCCGCTCAAAATTAACCAAACAACCAAATTTAATAAATACGGGTATTTGTTTTACTTTACACTCCTAATTCAGGCAACCAAACAGCCCCTTAAACTACTTTAGTTTCATTATGTTATTTCTTCACGTATAAAGTCCTCTTATAAATAGATAAGACTTGTATGGGACTTCATTTAACTGATGAAGACTACAATATCTTGAAGGAATTATGTCTATCCTAATGGTATGGCTGGCAACTTCATTCTCTCTATCTACTTAGTCCTCTCTATCTTGGTTGATCTTCCTCTACTTCCCATTATGTGCTAGGAATGAAGGCCTCCATTCTCTTGTATATGTAGATCCCCCAACTAAAAATCAAGTCACTAAAAATCAAGTCCTACAAGTTCAAGCATCATATCTTCATAGCGTTAATAGCACTGGGTGTCAACAGTTATTTCATACCAATAAAATGTATTAAAATAAATCATATTTTAAATTCTCTATTTTTTGATAATTAAAATATAAATATTAGATCATAGCACGAAAAGCTCACAGACATCAAGATTGTAGATTGAGCTCAAAACTGCATTAAACGTGCAAAACTATCCAAAAAGATAGAAAAGAAAAGCAATCCGTCCGTGCCGCACACCAGTGACTCATTTAAGCTTATCAAATATTCTGAGAGCATCTTAACAACTAATGCGTTCTCCTTCAACGTAAATACGACTTGCAAGTGTTGGTACTTGGTGGCACGAAATTCTAAGAATTACTTAACAGGTTACATATTTGAATTAGGTCCAAAAACAGTTCGCAGACTTTAATTACTCCGTTCATCAGAATCTCTAGCGGCCTTAAGCAAAAGCAAATATTTGAAAGAAAAAGGAACCCAATTCCAAGAAGTCCTGCTGGCTTAAAACCTTCGATCATCAGAATAGATAAACAAACATAAAATGTTGAAAGGGAAATAAACCTAAATTCATCGCGTTGAGCGCTTTAGGGCGATCGAGGGTGATGACCGCAAGGCCGTTGGAGAAGATGCTACCTCTAACAAATTCATCCGCCGAGCCTGACATGGTTGCGAACAGACGAGCCGAGGAATGCGAATAATTCGATTGTGCAGAGACAGACGTATTAGGTTTACAACAGGAAAGTGAAACAAGGAGGGCACAAGGCTTTAGGCGCTGAAGTCCGAATACCAGCCTCCGCATAATCAGAGCGGGTGCGCCTCTGGGAAAAAATAGTCGTGGACTTTATAATAATGGAACACGTTTTTTTTAGTGGCAGAACGTACATTTGATGTACATAGAACTCAATGTTAAACATGATTTACTCTTTTTATAATACTTCAAAAGTTTAAAAAAATTTTAAACTACTAATTGGTTTTGATCAAAATTATATTCTCAAGCAAATCAATATTGATCCTCTAAACCAAATTCTTAAATCTTCTTTTAAGGATGTTAACAACAATCTTGCTTTTTGCATTTCCTATGGGTCCCCTTGGATGTCCAAAAGAGCCAAATTAAGGTGGCTAAGGAATGGGAAAGATGATTCGGATTTTCTTTATAAGCACATTAAGTCTAGAAACAATTCCAATAAAATTCATGAGATAGAAACAGTTGCTGGCTCTAAATTAAGGTGGCTAAGGTTGTTTTTGTAGCAATTATAGACCACCTTGCCTCTATTTTTAATCATTCAAATCAGTGCTCCCCTAATTATAACATTATTATATCATGAAATTGTATTTCTGATTCTCTCATTCCCACTTTAATTACTCTCATTTCCAATGACAACTTTAGTTTTGAATTTTATAAGGAAACTTGGGATATTATTAGTAGGCATAGTTGTTTCTTGTCAAACATTTCTTTCAAACTAGTTTTATGCCTAAGAAAGTGAAAGCTACTGTCATTGTTTTTGTTCCTAAGCCATCTCATGCTTCAAATATTGTTGATTATAACCCAATCTCTTTTTGTAATGTTTTTTATAAAATTATTACAAAAATTTTGGCATTAAGGATGAAACTTATTATGCCTTTTTATTGTTGAGAATAATCAAGTTGGATTCATCAAAGGTAGAATTTCTATAGAATGCTAATACTTCTCATAAACTATTTTGTGCTAAATTTTGATATTTTCAAAGCTTTTGATACTATGTCCAATAAATTTTCGTTGGATTGAATGAGATAAAATGGGTTTCTTCATTTATTTCTTGGATTAGAGGGTACATTAGTAATGTTCATTTTTCTATTTGCTTAAATAATAGCTTGTAATGTTAATTTGGATCAACTTCAAGTTTGAGACAAGTTTGTCTTTTATCCCCTTATTGTATATTATTATTGATGCTCTTTCTAACATTTTAGACAGTAATCTTTCATTTGAAGGCTTCAAGTCCTTTTCTACTTCTATTAGGCATCACAAAATTACTATGTTTCACTTGAGTATGACTAGAGTGTTATAATTTATGAAAATAATTTAATGTAGTAATTCAAAGAAACCAATTCTTCTTAATAGCATGCATTTTCAAACTCTAATTGTTCATTTGTATGTGATATAAAAAACTTACATGATGATATTAAGAAATAACTGGAACAAAAAAATACAAAATATGTTGAATATAAGAATAAAAATAAATCTTTTAAGGAATTTGAAGTAGAAAACATGTTCTAATATGCATCCGTCCTGAGAGGTTTACTTTCACTAGTTTTTGAAAACTATAAATGAGACATATGAACCATTCAAGATCATTAAAAAACTTGGTAATAATTCAATATGTACTTGAAGGAGACACCTATAGAGGGACTCATCCAACCTCCAAATTTACAATAAAAATATTTTATAAACCTCCAAATTTACATGAAAATTCTTTTACAAACCTTGTTTAGAGGAGGAGATGAAACCTAATTATAGATATCCATTCAGCCTAAATTTCTTGAAATGGAGTACATCCACCTACATAGGGAGAATATAAGAGGCATCTCATTAGATGGAAGGATAAGCCGCCAAGAGAAGATACTTGGATGACCACATATGAGCTGTTGTAGCTTGCGCCAGTTTTTTTGAAGGATTACATGAGCACTAACTCTTCGAAGAAGAGATCTCTTAGATCAATAAAAATTGGTGTAACACCTACACTAATTAGTAAACCCACAATTAGGATCCAGACTAGAAGAACCACAGTGGAAAGAGGAGAACCCATTACCCGAAGTAAGATGAATAAGAAATAGGAAATTTTATGTTTTTTTATATTTATTTCTTATGTATTAGATATTTCATTATCATGCTACAGTTATTTCGAGCATTCTTAACATTTAGTTTTCAAACAACAAATTTAAGTATCATGGGCTTCCGGTCTCAGTTAAAAGGCTTAATTATGTTGAATATCAACCTCTTTTATACAAAGTCATGTCCTTGTTGGAAGGAAGGAAAGCTAAATCTTTATTTATGGTCTGTCGTACTCAATTTATTGTGTTTACTATTTGAAACACAATTACATATTGAATAAGAGGTGCAATTTCACCTAAGGGGTGTTATAAAGTAATTGACAATATATATTCCAAATTTTTATATCATGGGGATATTAATTCAAAGAAGATACACATTATATCTTGGAAATCTAGATGTTGTCCCAAAAATCAAGGTGGGTTAGGTATTCCAGCTATTAACTCCTTTTATTATGGGTATTTATGCTCCCTAATTTTGCAGTTATATAAGGAAGAAAGTCTTCTTGCAAAGTGTTGCAAATTTAAATACATCTCCATTTGGAAAACTCCTCTAGCTAGGTCTTCCAAATATTGGAAGGCTCTCTACTCAATGGATGATAAGATTAGAAATAAAATTTCATTTCAATTGAATTATAATATTAATATTTCTTTTGCTTGGGACCCTTCGTGTAATAACAAATTTTTATTTGATTTTATTGGCCTAAATGAGTTAAAGAAATAACTTAACTTGAAGGTTTGCAATTTCAATATTACAAATTGATGGGCTTTTCCTTATTCAATTAGCTCTATGATTAGAAGTGTGACTTTTGCTTATAATTCTTTTGATACAATTAGATGGTTTGGATTGTTTAACCCTATTTTAAAAAATTTCACTGCACATATTTGTGATCATTTGAATAATGTTTATTGGTAAAATTATGTATGGCATAAAAGATTTGCTTTATAATATTTTATGTATAATTGGCTAGTCATATTGAAGAGTCTTAAAACTACTCATAATCTAATAATGCCTAATATTCATGTTTGTCCCATTTGCATTTTAATTAATATGTATACTGAGAACCATAATCATTTATTTTTTTATTGTGACTTCTCCTTTTCATTTATTAGATAGGTTATTTCAAATTTAGGATTCTATTTGTTAAGGCCTACATTGTTGCAAATATTTAAATTATTGGTGAGGCCTCTAATTTAACTGATATAGCCAAACATTTTTATTACGTGGCTATTGGTTGTACTACTTCATATGGAAACAAAGGAATGAATTTTGTTATCGCAACACTTTATGTTGCTGCTGATAAATCCTACCTCTTCTCTAGAGCATTAGTGCACCCATTATCTATTCCTAAGTGGAAATGGGAAGAGATCACCATAAATTTTGGTATAGGTTCTCCCTAGTTTAGGTTGTTGAATCTAGTGAATAGGTTGTTAAACCTAAGTTAATGTCCCACGGCTATCAAGAGTGGGGGGGTGAATTGGTAGTTAAAAATTATCCCTCTTTTAGATGAGTTGAACCGAAAATATATTTAGTTTGGTTAAGAAATGTTCCTTCCTCA